TACAGATGAATGTCCATTTTGTATCTGTGTGTTCAAAGTGGTTAGGATAGATATATAGTTACATTCTGTTAATGAATAGAATGATTTGTTCTAATAGTGTTTGTAAATAGGATGTCGAGTCCGCATCTTGTGCAGCAATTAACCACTAAGAAGAATGTATGCAATGTGTTAATTATTTAAACTGTCCTAGCGATTTGATTTGAAACTGTCTCATTGCTATTTGTTTATCAATAAAATTATGGCAAAAAAGAAAAAAAAAGAAAAGTTAAGCCATATTAATATGCTGAGCTGTAAAAGGCTCAAGTCAACAACTCCTGACATTGCCAGTCCTACTGATAGCCCACTAATATTATGGACTTCGGGTCATTCATTTCTATCTAAGATCATTGGGGCCAGGGAGATGGCTCAGTGGAATAAGTGCTTACCTGGCAAGCGCAAAGGTCTGAGTTCAATCCCTGGTTCGGCAAGTAAATCAATAAATAAATAAATAAGATCATTAATGTGCATAGCAATTATATTATTACCACAAATGTTCACCCACTATGTACAACCCAATAGCAACAGTGATTTTACAAATGAAGTAAGGGTTTCTACATAAAATACAGGACATTTGCTTAAATTAAACTTGTTACTAAAATGTTACTCATTCCTCAACTGAAATTCAAACTTAATATATAATAGGTGTACATATTATTCTTGGTATTTAAATTTTTAAAAATTATTATGTAAAAGTTACATTGCCATTAATCACCTTCAAAATACTCTCTCTCACTTCACAGACACTTTTTCCATCATTTGTGGTATCTTCTGAGGCAGTTACAGAAATCTTCTTTGGTGTCTTTATAAGGAGTGATCATAAGATGAATACACCTGCCAAGGGCCATCCGTCAGAACGCATGTTTGTAAAAACATTACAGTTTATGTTCGCATCCACCTTATTCACTAGAACTGGCACTGTGCTGTTTCTGACCCATCCCCAAAAGTCAAAATGACCATGAGAGGTAAATGCATTGAATCCATTTAGGACCAAGGTGGCCATCATAGCACTACTAGACACTCTCAAAAAAGGACTCCAGAACTGTTTCAGAAAGTGGAGTGATGAGGTTTGCCGCGAAGGGGAGTATTTAGAGGGAGTCTAATGGCAGAATATCTTTTATAGTAATAACTTTTTACATTTAAAGACCCACTGTAATGCGGGCCAGTGAGAAACCTCAGTAGACTAAGTGTCTGCTTAGACAAACACAGGGACAAGTGTTCCATTGCCATGCACCACATTCCATGACAGACCCACTCCTGGGGTGCACTGAGCAGGTAAATGATCCAGGTATGGTGGCGCAGACCTGTACTCCCAGCCTTGGGGTGGCTGAAAACATGATCACTACGAGTCCGAGCTGCGTAGTGAGACCTTGTACCAAATACATAAATGGGGGGGGAGATCCACTGTATTTTTCATTAGCACCTTGCATCTTATATTTTTATTAGCTAAGTTTGGCAACCCAGAAAACCACTAGAGAATAGAAATTGGCATATAAATATCAAAACAGGGCTGGAGTGATTGCTCCATGGCTTAAGCGCCTGTTTGGCAAGCACTAGGACCAGGGTTTGATCCCCGGCATCACATGCCACCTTGGCCCCCATTCCCAAGAGCACTGAGCCAGCCACCAATACTGGGTGTGGTGGCATGCGCCTATAATGCCAGCGCTGGGAATGCTGAGACAGCAGTTTCAGTATGAGTCCAAGCCACATGGTGAGACCCTCTACCAAATACATACAAAAAGAAATGAATCAAGCATAAAATGAAAGTTGTTTTTATTTTAGAAAAAATATTATGTTGTTATGATAGTTTGGGTGTTTTATTGTAATTACACAATCACATTTATTCTGTAGATGAATGAAATCTTACTGTGATTTTCCATATACGCCTATATCATATTTTGATCATATCCAGCCTCCCTGCTGTCCTCTCTTCCACTATCCTCTGTCCCACAACATGCACCCCTTTCTCTTCCATAGGATTCTATCTTCTACTTCCATGTCATGTTTATTTTCTATATATTTATTTGTAGTTTCCATGTACGAAAGAAAATATGGTTCTTATTTATGTGTTTATCTAATTTCACTTTAAATAATAATGTGAAGTTCTACTCATTTTCCTACAAATGACATGACTTTATTTTTCTTTATGGGTGAATAATACTCCATTGTGTATATATTCCATATTTTTGGTATCCATTCATCTGTCGCCATGTCCCTAAGACGATTGCTTGACGTGGCTGTGTGAATAAACACGCAACTGCAGGTCTGTTTTTCATATAATGAGTTTCTTTTCTTCATCATGTTCCCAAGACTGGTAAAACTGGATTGTAGGACAAATTTAGGGTTTTTTTTGACTAAAATCCTATTTTTTTTAGTACCTGCACTGATTTACAACTGTACCATCAGTGTAAAAGGCTTCCATTTTTGCTACCACTGTGAAAGCGTTTGGTTGGTCTTTCTTCGTTTCTTTCTTTTGTCTTTTTTGAAACAAAATACAGGACAGTGATAGAATCTCAATGAAATTCTGATTTTCATTTCTGTGATGGCTGAACTGTTACATCTTTTTCGTATATTTATTGGCTATTTATACTTCTTTTGAGAAGTGTCTGTACAGATACTTTGCCTATATATTGGTTTGATTGTTTCTTCTGTTAACTTTTTGAGTTTTTAAATATTCTGGATAATAATCCTCTGTCACATGAATAACTATCCAAAATACTCACCCATTGTATAGCTGTCTCTTCACTCTGTTTATTGCTTCTTCTGAAAAGCAGCTTTTTAATTTGATGGAATCCAATTTGTCTGTGATCATTTTGTTTTCCCCACACACTTACTGAAGAGGCATGTGTTGTTGTCAATATATGTCTTAGTATTTTCATCAAGAATTAAATGGCTGAATATGTGCTAGTATATTTCTAGTTTTTATAATCTAGTCCATTGCTTCATGTGTCTGTTTTTATTCCAATATCATGATGTCTTTGAACTACATCTTAAATATATTTTGAAATCTCAGGTTGCTAATGTTCCAATATTGCTCATTTTGCTCATGATTACTTTTGCTATTCAAGGTGTGTTGTGTTTCCCTATAAATTTTAGTATTATTTATTCTAATTAGGGAAGGAATATCATTCATATATGATTAGAATTGTAATGAATCTGTACATTCATTTTCTTAGTATGTCCATTTTAAAGTTATTGATTCTCTTAATTCATGAACATGGAACATCTCTACAATTTATAGTGTAATTTCATCAATTTATTTCTTCAACTCACCTGCTTGGTATGTTTATTCCTACTTTACATTTTAGAAAATTATGAATGTGACTTTTTTAATCTTTAGTACAGGGTCTACAGGGTCTCACTACACAGATCGGACTCGTAGTGATCCTCCAGTTTTCAATCTCCTAAATGCTGGGATTACAGGTATGTGCCACCACACCCAGTCTCTATCACCATCTCAGCACACTTTGGGGGTGGGGCTGGTGCAGCACGCTGGGATTGACCCCTGAAGCTGCACTGTCTAAGGAGGCACTTTAGTCCACTGAGCTATCTGGCCGACCCTGGAATGTGATTGTTTTTGCTGACTGCTTTCTCAGCAAGTTCATAATTGGAATATAGGAAAGCTACTGATTTTCATATGTTGATTTTTTTATTGTACTACTTTGTTTAATTTGATTTTTTAAATTTTATTTTATTAGTACACGTGTGAAGCACATGAAGTTTACATTCATTTGAGGGATCTTAACTCTAAGCATCTTTTTTAATTTTAGGGTAGGGTCTACAGGGTATTTCGGATCTCACTACTAGATTGGACTTGTAGTGATCTGCCTGTTTTCAGGCTCCCAAGAGCTGGGATTACAGGCGCGTGTCATCATGCCCAGTCTCAGTTGTCATCTCAGCCCAGGAATTGAACCCCACGCCTGCTTGCAGGCACTTTAATCAATTGAGCTATTTGGAAGGCCCTTCTAAGAGTCTTTTGGTGGGATCTTTATATTCTTATATTTATAGAATCATACCATCAGCAAACAAGGACAATTTGACTTCCACCTTGCCTATTTGTATGTCTTTTATTTTTTTCTCTTACTTGACTGCTCTGGATAAAATTTCAAGTATTGCATTAAGGAACAGTTGTAAAAGTGAACACACATGTACTATTCTTGATTTGGGAGGAAATGCACTCAGTTTTTCACCAGTTAGTATAACTGACTGTGCATTTTTAGGATATGGCCTTTATAATACTAAGGTAGGATTCTTTTATAATTATCTTCTTTGGAGCTTTCATCATGAAGGGATATTGAATTGTGTCAGTTATTTTCTGTGTCTATTCATATGATCATGCAATTGTTATCCTTAATTCTATTTATGAAACATATTACATTAATTGATTCACATATGTTGAACCATGCTTACATTTCTAAAATGAAATCAACTTATAGATGTTCTCTTTAATACACTGTTAAATTTAATTTCCAAGTATTTTTCAGGGTTTGCATCTATACTCAGAGTTTTATTTGTATTATGTCTTTATCTGCTTTTCTTATGAGACTAATACTGGTTGCATATAATGAATCTGGAAAAATTCTTACCTTTCAGTGCCTGACGTTGTGGCCACCAGAGAATCTCTGGCCTGGTTTCTGCATAACAATATCTTCCATTAAAATTGAGTGTGTCTTGTCTGAGAACTTCAGGTGTGGTGAGCCTCCAGGATGGGAGGAAGCATCCAACTCCCTGTTCTTCGTAGACATTCCTGTAAAACGGGTTTGCCAGTGGAATTCACTCACCAAGCAAGTACGGCGAGTGACCATGGATGCCCCAGTTAGCTCGGTGGTCTTTCCCCAGAAGGGAGCCTATGTCGCCACCAGCGGAACAAAGTTCTGTGCTTTGAACTGGGAAGATAGGTCAACAGTAGTCCTGGCCCAGGTGGATCAAGATAAGAAAAACAATCCATTCAATGATAGAAAAGTGGATCCTGCTGGGAGATACTTTGCTGGCACCATGGCTGAGGAAACCGCCTCAGCAGTTCTTGAGCAGCACCAGGGGGCGCTCTACTCCCTTTTTCCTGACCACCATGTGAAGAAGTATTTTTTTTTTTTTTGCTGCTGAAAAATTTTTTTTCTCATAATTTTATTGATAAACAAATAGCAATGAGACAGTTTCAAATCAAATTGGTAGGACAGTTTCAATAATTAACACATTGCATACATTTGAAGAAGTATTTTGACCAGGTAGACATCTCAAATGGTTTGGATTGGTCCCTGGACCACAAAATCTTCTATTACATCCACAGCCTGTCCTACTCCGTGGATGCCTTTGACTATTACTTGCAGACAGGACAGATCTCCAAGCGCAGAAGTGTTTACAAGCTGGAGAAAGATGAGCACATCCCAGACGGAATGTGTACTGATGCAGAGGGGAAGCTGTGGGTGGCCTGTTACAATAGAGGAAGAGTGATCCCTTTAGATCCTGTGACAGGGAAAAGACTTCAAACTGTGAAGTTGCCTGTTGAGAAAACAACTTCATGCTGCTTTGGAGGAAAAGACTACTCTGAAATGTACGTGACCTGTGTCCCATAAGGAATAGACCCTCAGGGTCTTCTGAAACAGCCCAAAGCTGGCAGAGTTTTCAAGATAACTGGCCTGGGGGTCGAAGGCCTTACCCCCTATTCCTACACAGGCTGAAGAACAGGTCTTCTTTCCTGCTGCATGAGACTTTGAAGACAACTGGAAAATTCTGTAGCCTAAAAAATTCAATCTAATTAGAAAAAACTGGTTTAATTTTAATGTATAAATTTAGGGGTGCTAGAGATTGAACCAGGGTCTACCACATGCTAAGCATAAGCTCTATCACAGAGCTACAACCCAAGCCTTATTAATTTATATTTTTCAAAGAGCATTTTATAGAGGATGACAGGTGGTTTTGATAATATACTATAAGGCCATCTGTAAAAAGGTCTGTAAAGCCAACTGTGGTTACACACGCCTGTAATCCCAGCACTCAGGAGGCTGAGGCAGGAGGATTGGGGTGAGATCAAGGCCAACCTGGGCTACATTGTGAATTCAAGGCCAGCCTGAACTGTAAAGCAAGACCTTGTCTCAATAAAATAAGAAGGTCTGCAGAAGGGCAAAGCATTGTTCATCTGTCTACCAGCCCTTGATCCTTTGAACATTGCTCAGAGGGTTTGGAAGAGGAAAATATCTGTTCTTTATTCTGCATTCCATACTTAATATATACCTAAAGCTTCAAAAAAAAACTAATCAATAGATACTTAGTGAATTATTACAAGTATGTTCCCCTTTGTTTTCACTTTAATCTCACAAAATATACCATGATGCTAACAAAAATAATTCTTACCTTTCCTATTTTATGGAATATTTTGATGAGTATTGGTATTAGTTTCCTTAAATGTCCGATAAAATTGAGCAGTAAATCCTTCTTTTCCTGGGGATTTCATTATTGGGAGACTCCAATTGTTTTATTGACTGGTTCAATCTCACTGCTTGCTATTGCTTTGTTAAGGTTCATTGATATCTTATGAATTCAATTCATGACATCATATATTTCTAGAAATCAAATTTCTAATTTCTTCTTGAATTTCTAATTTATTAATATAGTTTTCAAAGTATTTCTTAATGAGCCTAAGGATTTTGGTGGTATTTGTTTTAATATCTTATTTTTGGCTCCTTTGCGTATTTTTTTCTCTTTTAGTGAATTTGATTAAAGGTTTACCAATTTTTTGGGGGGTGGTCTCAGGATGCCTTCAGGGCAGGGCTGGTTTGGCTTGAGGATCTGGGGATCGAACCACAGCATCCTGAGTCTAACTGTTTTGTTTTTAATTTTATTTTTGTTTGTAAAGTACCAAATCTTTGTTTATTGATCATTTATATTGTTCACTTATACCCTATTTCATTTATATCTGTGCTGATCTTTACAATTTCTTTCTGCTGTTTGGGATTTTTATTTGTTTTACTTTTCTAAGACTTTGATATGAATCACTAGGTTATTATATGAGACTCTTCTGTTTTGTTTTAATATAGTTACTCATTTCTAAACTTGTTTCTTAGTTTTGATTTCATTGTGTCTCCAAAGTCTGGCATATTATCTCTCTGATTTCATTTGATTCTATAAATATTTTCATTTCCTCTGAGTTCTTCACTGATACACTGTTTATTCAAAGTACATTATAGCACTCTGAAAAAAAAAAAGATCATAGAGGATTTCAGGAAATGGAAAGATATTCCCTGCTCCTGGATAGGAAAAAACCAACACTGTGAAAATGGCCATACTCCCAAAATTGTTTTACAGATTTAATGCAATCCTTATCAAAATACTACCAACATACTTCACAGACCTAGATAAATTGTTCCTAAAATTTATTTGGAACCAAAAAACCCTAGAATAGCAAAAGCAATCTTGGGTAACAAAGGAAATGCAGGAGGCATTACAATCCCTGACTTGAAAGTATGCTACAAAGCTACTGTGATAAAATAAGCATGGTATTGACAAAAAAATAGACCTGAGGATCAATGGAATAGATTAGAAGATGTAGGTACAACTATAAACACAGTTAACTATCTTGTCTTTGACAAAGGAGCCAAACATATTTATTGGAAGAAAGATAGCCTCTTTAATAAATGGTGCTGGAAAAAACTGGTTCTCTACTGGTGCCAAAAACTAAAACTTGACCTGGGTCTATCACCATGCACTATACTAAAGTCAAAATGGATTAAAGATTTAAACATTAAAACAGAAACACTAAATCTCTTGGAAGAGAAAGAAGGTGGAAGACATAGGGGTAGGCGAACATTTCATGAACAAAAATCAAACTGCACAGAAAATACTTGAAAGAATTAACAACTAGGACTGTTTCTTATTGAGAAGTTTCTGCATGTCAAAGGAAATTATGAAAAGAGTGAAAAGGCAACCCACAATTTTGGAAAAAATCTTAACTAATTAGCACTCAGACAAAGGCCTTCTATCTAGAATTTATAAAGAATCAAAAGTACATTTTTCAATCTCCATGTGTTTGTATAATTTCTGTAGCTTCTTTTACTATTGATATTTAGTTTCACCCCTTTAAGATCTCATAAGATAAAATAAATTATTTCAATTGTTTATATTTTCTAAGACATGCTCTGTGGCCTGAAATATGGTCTATTTTAGAAAAAGCTTTATGAACTTCTGAAAAACATGTGCATTTCACAGCTGTTAAGTTAAATATTCTGTAGATGTGTGTCAAATCCACTTGATCTTAATGTAATTTAACTCTGATGAATATTTGTTGAATTTTTTGTCTGTTTATATTATTGATAGCAGGACATTGAAACCACTTACTAGCAGTGTTTTCTTCATCCATTGGGTGCTCTGATATTCTGTATATATAGTGACAATTGCTATATCTTCTGGATGCATTTTTCTATTTATTAAATATATTTATTAATATACATTTATCTTCTTTTTCTTTTCTGTTTTTGGATTGAGGCCTGCTTTATTAGATATAGCTATTACTGCTTGCTTTTGATTTTTTTTCTGCTTGTGATACCATTTTCCATCATTTATTTTTGGGCTGTGTATGTCTTCTTCGTGAGGTAGATTTCTTTAAAAAAGTAAATTGAGTGATTTTTTTCATCCAATCACTCAGAGTGCATCTCTTAATTGGAGAATTAAGATTATTTGCATTAACAGTGATTATTGAAAGACACATATGAGTTGCTGTACTTTTGTTGATTTTCTTATTGTTTTGAGCCATCTATGTCCATTTCTTACTCTTTTTCATTCTACAAGTTTGATAGCTTACTTAGTTAAAGTACAATAATTAATCCTCCTGTATTTATCTACTCTAATATGGCAATTAATTTTTGCCATACTCTCATCCTTGTTATTTATCTTGTTTCTGTTTCTGGAATTACTTTAAGCAAATTTTATAATGCTGGCTTAATCATGCTAAATTCATTTAATTATGCTTATCTCTGAAAGTCTCTGTTTTCTTCATTCTGAAGGATAACTTTGCCATAAATAGAAATCCAGTTTGGCAATTAATTTTTGCAGGATTTAAAATACATGACTGCATGCCCTCCTGTCCTTTATAGTTTCAACTGAGAAATCTGCTGTTATTCTGGTAGATTTGTTTTTATAAGGATCTGGTGCTTTTCATTTGTACATTGCGATATTTTCCTTGTTCTTATTATTGGCATTTTTAAATATAACATATTTTGGAGAGGCTCTATTATGATTATGTCCATTTGAGGTTCTTGGTGCCTGCTATATCTGGATGTCTGTGTTTTTCCCAATATTTGCAGATTTCTTTGCTATTATTTTACTGAATTGGTTTCCTATGTCTTTTGCCTATCCCCTGGCTCCCTTGTTTTTTCCTACTATTCATACATTTGGACACTTAATGGTGTCCCATAGATATTCCTTGTCAATGCATTTTAGACTCTGATATGCATTATTCTACTTCACTTTGTGTATTGTTAAATCTTTTAATTGAGCTTTCTGTTTGACTTATTGAGGTTTTTGTTTTCAAACTCTTTTTTTAATTCAGAACCTCTTTATTTTTATTGAATTATTCTTTCATATCTTCCATTGCCTTTAATTCGTTCAGCTGTTTATTGATACCTTCTTTGAATTTATTGATCGTTTTCACATCAATTTTTTGAATTATCTGTGTAGTGTGTCATCTACGTCAATATCTTTAGAATCAATCACGAGAGATCGATAAGCTTTTGGATGAGTCATATTGCCTTTCCCCATATTTCTTGCATGTATATGTAGATATTTGCATGTCTGTTGGGATTCTCATTTCTTTCACTTTTTTAGATCATTTTCTTTATTAGTACACTTTTATTTTAAATAATGTTTACATTCTTTGTGGATAAGTAGTGTATGCACATAACATATCTTAATTCCTTTTTAAAAATCACCTTTCTTTTTCCTTCCTCACCCTCCATCTGCCACTTGATTTCCTCTTTTTTGTACAACTTTACAGTGCATAATGTGTGAGGGCATTCCTAAACAATAGCTCTCTGTCAATAATACGTCCTAGGGTATCAATTTATTGTGAACTATTGAATTTAATGACACATAGGCATCATACTGTAGTTTCCCTGTTGTTTTTCTAGCTGTGATAGTTGAGGGGGGGGTTGGCTTTTTTTTAGGGAAAGATCTACAGGGTGGTGAGGGTCTCACTACTAGTCTACTAGATCGGACTTGTGGTGATCCGCCTGTTTACAGCCTCCCAAGAGCTGGGATTACAGGAACACACCACCACGCCCAGTCTCAATTGCCTTCTTAGTGCGCCCTGGGGGTGGGGCCTAGACAACAGGCCTGGGGATGGAATTCCCGGGCCCCTGCACCTTCTTGCAGGTGCTTTAATCCACTAAGCTATTTGTCCAGCCCTCAATAGGTGCGTTTGGATGCAGAATACAGTGCCAAATCTTTAGGATCCTACTTTCTTTGGCAGTGGCAAAAATAAGAAAAAATAGACTTAAAAGTTTAAAAATTATAAAAAATAAAATTGATTTAAAAAACTAGGAATACAAATAGAAAATTGAGGAGAAAAGAATGGAAACAAGAAAAAAATAGGAAATAA